GGGCACAGCGTGAACAGCCAGACCATCATTTTGCTTTCCTTTCCTTTCAGATAACCCAAGCATGTGTCTTGTGGCTGATGTTAAAGGTGACCTGCAAATGGGGGTTAACAATGAAACACAGTAAACCTGAAATGAAATTAGTTTTTTCTGGCTGTTTTTGAAGCATCAGGTATTTAGGCCAGTCTGTCCTGTGAGATTCTCCACAACTGAAGAATTACTGAAATGGGGCCTTTAAAAAAAAAAAAAAGGAACTGCAGAAAGCAAAAAGTGTTTTGGTTAGGTTTTTTGAAACCTAGAGATACCTGTTTAACTTCAATGACTAAATAATATTTTGGGTAAAAGAAGCCTTTCTTAAGTATTCAGAGTCCTTTGGTTCAGTTTTAAATAAACCCAGAAGCTCTTCAAAATTCTGCAGCAAAGCCAGAAAATATTAGATTTTATATTCATTGTGCTTGGAAGATAAATAAAGCAGGGATAGAAAACCAAAATACTTCAGGCTTAACTTGTCATAGAGAAAATAACAACACATGTGCTGTTAATTGAACATCAGTCACAAGTTACCTGTTTTATTTGGACAAACCTGTTTTGTGCTCTTAAAGCTCAAAATGGATCACAGTTCTTACCTGGTGAGTCATTTAGAAGATAAACCAGTAGAGCTGCTAACCAGCTTACGAAATGATATGGCGAAACAAGTTTGCAAATACCTCTATGTGTGATCTGTAATTTGTCTGTGGGGGAAGATGAGATTTTGCTTCCTCACAATAAAATGAACATTTTAAGGGGCACCTTGTCCATGACATTTTTGAGGAGTGCATTTTCACACTGCCCCACCAGTTTCACTCCTCTCTTGAACCTGGTGCTTCTGCCTTCCTTCCTTCCACTGCTTCCTGCACCAGCAGCCTCTGCTTTTAGGTGGACCGCATCAGTGGCGCATCCTCCAGTGGGAGCCAGCAGAGCTGAGCTATCAGCAAAATCGCTTTTTGACTTCTGAGATCAGTTCCTTCCCAGGATGTTGTGTCAGCTTCCCTACCTTCTGCCTGCCATTAATTTCAGTGGACCCCCAGGTCAAACAACTGGCCAAAAATCTGGAAAACAGCTGACGGTCAGAGCAGCTCCTACTCAGCATGTCCTCTCAGAGGGCACGCTCCTGGCCTGGTCCTTTTGAGTGGCTGGACCTGCTTGACCCAATTTGTGGATTTTTGATCACTCCCCTGGGTCACTGATTTTCCACTTGAGGTTATTGGTTTGACCCCCAAACTGTGGGTCACTTGGGAGGTGTGATACAGCCCTGTGAACTCTGAACTCATCAGGAGCCAACAAAAACAGCGAGGGAGGGGAAAAGAATTTCATTAGGGCCTCCTCAGAGGTGGCAATGTCTGCCGAGTGAAAAGGCAGGGGTTGTTTTGCTTCTTGCAGAAAACAAGCATAGCATCTACAAGGGGCTGCCAAGTAGAAAGTGTTTGGTTTGAGTTATGGCAATTTCTTTGAGGATAAACAACAGCATGTACTTCTACACCATGAGCTATCAAGTGAAAATAGTGTTGCTTCAGAGGAGCCCTGCTCTTCCCTGACGGGAACTGCCCCCAGCGTACCAAACTTGCTCCTAACGGTGATGGCATTTCTACAGCCAGAGCTTGGTATCCGTTTCTTCTACCTTAAAAAAATTGACTTTCTGATGGTTAATTTGACACACGTGGGGAAGGAAGGGCTGTTTTTTCCCATGTTTTAAGACGTGTCAGGTGGAGTTTCATGTCAGAGGTTCATGGAGACTCCCTGGCTGGTTGGTCACACTGTGAGCCGCTCCCTAAGAACAGACTTCACTGGGCATGGCTGGTAGGTGGGGAAGAATGAATCCTCGGGAAATAACTCTGCTTCAACATGCACTGCTGCTCATAAAAGGGAAGAAAAGTGTCGCCATCATAGCATGTGTATCTGCACGCATAACACCCACTGGGATCACCAGGGGGAAGTGAGCTGGGGAGTGTGGTGCAGCCACAAGGGTATCTCTCATGAAATTTCCCCCTGGTCACGCTGCCCGGGGGCAGCCTTTTGGGCAGTTATCAGCATTTCCCAGGGTTTTACTCATGCAAGAGTTCTGGTAATCATTGGTTAGATCACTGCTTGTGTTATTGCCAAGGCTGCTAAAAAACCACACGCACCTTCCGTCTTCCTGGGACTTTCCTAAAGGATCCATGTGAAGTGGATTCAAGCCTTGTCACCGTGTACCTCTCCTCCCAGCTGCTAAGCCCTGACTCTGTGGAAGACGCTCGAGAGTAATACCATCTATGGATGTTTCACCCTCAGAGAAGGGAAACTGGTGCTGAGAGTGAACAGCTTGGATATTTCTTTATTTTTTGAAGAAAGATTTGGCCCTTCTCACATGTTCTTCTGTAGTTTGTCTACACAATCAGAGACAGTATTAGCTGCAAGTGAACCAATGGTGGGTTTAGTTTTGTAGCATAGGTAACAGCAATGAAGACCTGATGGCACAGGCTCAAGCAACTTGGGTACATGCCTCAGGTCTGGCACACATGTGCTTTGATTGCTCAGGCTCATCTTCACTGCACAGTCCTAGGTCAAAGCTGCTCGAATGTGCTGCCCTCTGCACAGTCACAGCTTCTGTGGCAGCAGCGTCACACTGCCTCCTCAAACCAGGCCGGCTGAGCTTTCCTGGAAACAGCTCTTCTGGCTGGATGGCAAAACACATCCCCCTCTTTTCTTGCAACATCCAGACCTCTCGTGTGAGTTGAGGGATGAGCTGTGCGCTGAAGGCTCAGTAGATGATGCTGGTGGCTCAGTCCTGTTATCAACAGTCATTTTGGTACCAATTAATCTTGAATTTGTTATTTTAGAGGAATTTAATTTCGCAGTTAGAGCTCTGTCCAAAAGCTACCTGGCTCTTCAGTGAATTCTGGATCGGGTTCCAAGCTCAGTCCCTTTTTAATGTGATGAACAAGAATTTGGTTGATTATAGCTGCCGATGAGAACATCTTATAAAATCCGATATACAGGATTTTGAGCATTATCCTTATATGAAAAGATGATGCATATAGGTTTGACATTTGTTCCTGTTGGTTTGCTGCTTGACACAAAGCAGTTCCTACCACCGCAGAAGCCTTTTATGATTGGAAGTGCGTTTTTGCGCACAGAGGAATTAAAAGCTGAGTGTGATGGGACTGACTAGCGAACAAGTCTTCATATAGAAATCCATGGAGTAATTCTTTGGCCTGCTGTGGAAATTAGGCTTTGTTGCAAGGCGTAGGTGTGTGAGCAGAGACAGCAGTTGTCTCAACGCAAGCGGTTAAGAGTCCTTTTAGTATCTCTTTTTTTTATAATGTTCTGTTTTTAAAGCAAAAAGTCTCTGGGGAACGTAGGGTCCTAAAAGTCCAAGGCCTGGAATTCTTCCTTTTGCTCTTTCCATTTTAAACAGGAAACATTTGCACTAAGTTATTCCAGGGGGAGAATTGTAGGTTCATTTCAAGGCAGATAATGTTTGTTCATTGCCTATGTCCATGATTTACCCCATGGGCTTAAACGAGTGCAGCAGAAAACCACATGTTTTGTTTTACTTCTTGCAAAACAAGTTCCAGTGGAGTCTGGGAGCCCAGGTTAAGAAAGGGGGAGCATGCTTGTAAAAATCTCTGTGTGAACAGAGAGAGGCATGGACGAATTGTGAACACCTGATCTGCTGTACCAGAATGATGACTTTTTTAATAAAACTATGCAAAGAATATTTAAACAGTTGATGAGTTCAGTCCCAAAGCCACAGAGCAGGTGTAATTGATTTATCCTTTCAGCCCCTGTTTTGGGTCAAAACCCTGTCGTCTTCCTTCAGCTCTCACTCAAAGAGAAGCTTCCTCTGCAGTCAATGGGAGGTTTTGCCCAAAGTGCAAAGACATTTGCAATCAGACTGGCAAAAACTCCTAATTGAGTTGAACTTTTGGGGATGCTCTGGTAACATGTCTGTAAGAACAATTATTTTTGCCATTTCAAAAGTATCACAAGTTAAGCTGTACTAGGAAAAAATATCAATGCTTCATTAGTGCAAATCATGGAATTAAGATGCAGAAAGCTACAGAGAGGGCTCCGTGGCACATCCTCAGGGATGACATGTTCACATGTTACTTTTCACGTGAACTAGAGCTTGTCAGATCCATACTGATGCAGACAAGTTACAGGGCTGTTGCAATATCAGGCCTTCTAGATCACAGGAGGTTTTTTTAAACCCCATTGGCAGCTCGCCTGTTGAACACAGGTATTGTAGCCTGACATCCCTAGTGTTTCCTCCAGGAATTCCAGTTTTTCCAGCTATGTTCACATGTTACTTTTCACGTGAACTAGAGCTTGTCAGATCCATACTGATGCAGACAAGTTACAGGGCTGTTGCAATATCAGGCCTTCTAGATCACAGGAGGTTTTTTTAAACCCCATTGGCAGCTCGCCTGTTGAACACAGGTATTGTAGCCTGACATCCCTAGTGTTTCCTCCAGGAGTTCCAGTTTTTCCAGCTATAATGTTTGGAAAGTTTTATAATCTGACATGTTAGGAAAAAAAATAGTGGGAAATGGCTTAGAAAGCGTGAATATTTGTGCATGTAAAGCTTATGGGATTTGCAGACTTGCAGACCCAACTCATCTGTTTATCCTCAGGCTAGATAAGATTCAGTCAAACATGCATTGTTTAAAGGAGCTTTGTTTCCATTATGGCAAATGGATCACAGGAGGCTGACTTTGGGAGCCGAAGGGCTCCAGTGCTCCCCCATTGTAAAAGGGCTGTGATGTGCGCTGGACCCTTCCTCCAGCGTCCTGGGTGTTACAGACTTCTGTAGTGTGCAGGTGGGAGGCTTGTTATCCTTCAGAAGTTCTTTTGATTCATCTGGACCTGTCATGCTTGAGGTGGCATTTCCTTTCCCCAAGTAAACATGGGCTGTGAGTACAATAAGGTGACGCTGGACTAGTAGACTGCCTTTTCATGTGCTTTATTATGCTTTTCCTCCTCAGGCGAGGACCTGCAGAGCCACTGGAATATTTAACGGGGCCACGAGTAATATACAAAGAGAGAGATCTTCCCTACTACCAAGGAGGACAGCCTGTTGTCCACACATCTAAGGGAAACTACATCCGTGCGCCGGACACAAGAGTGGCAGAATTGAGGTACCCCCAGTACTACCCAGCCCAGCCTGTCGGAAACCAGCATAAAGGACCCCTCCGGCAGGATGTGCCACCTTCCCCTCCTCAGTCCCACCGAGCACCAGCTTATAATGAAATTGTCCGACACCGTGGGACCAGTCCAGACCAGTACCAGTACAGGCAACAGGATCCCAGGCAGAAGAACCCCATGACTGCAGCTGTATAGCCACGCACTGGACTTGCCAGCACAGCCCGGGAGGAATCCCGTTGGACATCATCCTTGTAGAGTTGTTCCCAAGTGTAGCTGCCTGTAAGAATGGCACACGAGACCTGGAGTCGTTCTTACTGAGCTGGGCTCAGCATAGGGGCTTTCTAACAGGCAAACTAAAGCCACATGAGGTACGATGTGTTTTGAGTATGTGAGGTACCAGACAGTTGAGTGTTTTTTAATTCCTTTTAAAAATAGAAAGTGGCTGCTAGAAATTAAGCGCAACACTTAATACACCTCAGGGCTATTTACCGAATCCAGTTACACCTATACAGTACGTAGCTGTCTGTATAAGGGCAGCGGTGTCGCCAGAGTTTACTTCAGAGTGCTGCTGTAGAGCCTTGAAGTGAGAACACAGCACGCATTGTGGACTTCGTGCAGAGCTGGGGATCTTGTGTAATCCAGTGTGTGATCGTGAGTTGGACAAGGGACTGCCACGGAGGTCACGGCTGCATTCCAGGCATGTTCAGACCAGCAGCTCTGTGCTTTAAGGATGCTGCAGTTCCAGATTTGTAACCTGCCCTCTGTCTTCCTCTTTCTGTTTGGTCCTGGCAGCATTTATCTTGTAGCCTTCATTTTTTGCAGTTTGTGTAGCAAGAATCTCTTATTGCGCCTGCTGCATTTGGAGTAAGGCGAAAAGCTTTATCCACCATGCTTGGGCAGGCTCGCAGAGGACAAGACAGCCAGCCACCCTGAGAAGCGTGTGTCTGTGGATGTGCGTGCGTGTGCTTCTGAGCATTTCTTAGTTATTCAGTGTGCACTCTTTAAAAGTAAACCCTGGAGATCAGATCCTCAGCTGCTGTCAACAAGTGTCACTCTTGGGGTTTCTGTGGAGCCGGCCTGTAAGAAGTGGCTGAGGAGGTGACCACGGGCATGGACTCCATAACTCAAATTAGGTTACCATACCAGGTGCTGCCTTGTCTCCAGCAGGGCAGCCTTTCCTGGCCGCTCTGGCAGGGGTTACAGCAAAGTGCCTGCCAGCGCCATCCCCTGCCCTCTCCAGCCTGCCCACCACGTGAAGGCACCTGTGGGTGCAGGGCCCACCCTCTGTCCCCCAAGTGAAGCTCAGCCTTGGGCAGCTCCAGGCTGGTGCCAAGTGCCAAACTACTCAAGTTCCTGCAGCCAGGGGCCATCAGGCCAGAGGGGAAAGGGGATTTTCACAGCAAGAGGTGAGGGAAAAGGAAAGCAACAGGGAGGTCTTCAAGACCTTCCTCAAGGAGGAAGAGGAGAGAATAGCTGTTTGTAGCAAGTTATTTACAGCAGTGCATAGGAAGAGAGAAGGTATGGGTGGGGACAAGGGGCCAGCAGCACAGCAGAGCTGGGGGGGACAGGGCAGTGGGGTACGTGCCCGTCTCTTTGCACTGCACAGCCTGAGCCTGCTCTGCAGCCAGCCCGCCTGGGAGGAGGTTGGAAATGCATGTCCCCAGCCACAGGGACCTGGGCTACCCAGCCCAACAGGGCTGTGGGTGCTCAGAGATTTGTCTCAAGGATTTTGTCACAGGGAAACCATACAGTGTTGCCACCTGGAAGTATATTTTGTGAAGTTTCCAAGTGTCCTTAATTCCTCGACTTCTGCCTTTTGGCAGTGTTATTAAAACATTTGGGCTCTTCTCCTCATCAGGGAGAGACTGTGACCTGGCCAAGGATTAAGCACAAGGATTTCTTTGATGTCTTTTTGACACCTTTGGTATGCAACAGATTAAATCACATAGGTCACTTCCCAGGTATTAAATATCACCAGGAAGGTTTGTCCTGCTAGGAGCATGTCCCTTTACTAGATATCCCTGGGAAAAGGGCTCATTAAGAGTAAGAGGTCTGTAAGACGCAGGGCAGGGTGGGTCTGTGCGCTGCTGCTTTCCAGGGGCCACTGCCAGCAGGTAATGGCCCTGATGAGAAGCAGCATTTAATCCCAGCCAACATTTCTTGTGCTGCTAATGCTGGTGAGAGACTGGCATAACCCTGAGGCATGGGGACCCGGCTGGCCAGCAGGGCTCTAGCATTTGCATTCACACCGATCTCTAGCCGCCAGCCAGGCGGGGAGGCAGGGGAGAGGAGACAGCTTTGGGGTGGTGGGGGAGCATCTCCGTGATTCAGAAACAGGGCTGGGCTCCCTGGGGCAGGGGCAGGCACAGCTCTAAATCCAGTCAGAAGGAAGCATTGGTGGGAGGGACGGAGGGAGGGAGGGAGGAGAGAGAGGAACGCAACTGATTAAGGAGGAAGCGTGTTTGGTTCTTGTTCCATTTCTTTCTGCCCTCTTCCCTAGTAATGTAGGAGGGAAAAACCTCTTGAGGGAGGGTTGGATGTAAAGCTGGATATCTCTCGGTACCCTCCATAAATAAGGCGCATTCCCCAAGGAAACTCTGCCTGTCGTGTACGTGCTGTACACAGCCTTGTACTTCTCTCAAAGAGTTTTAGATGCTGTAGGATACTCAGCCAGGACTTGGCAGCCACAGGGTAGCCGCTGGTGTTATGAAGGCCCACTGAAAGTGAAGCGAAAACAAATTAAAATACTTTCCTTTCCCTCCTTGAAATATAACCCCCTGATACATTTGATCCAGCTGTAAAGAAACTAATATGTTTGCGACAGTGGCTTTATCAAGCCAGGCCACAATTAAGAACAGCTCTGAATATAAGCTACTGCCTTTATAAATCACTCTCAACTAACCCTTCAAATGGTATCACAGCACAGTGAACAGAACTTATTTACAGTATTTCAAGAGCCAGGGCCAAATAAAATCTGGATGGAAACAGCTCCTGGGTTATTTATAGCCTTTGAAGGACCTGTGCAATTGTCTCCCCGTAACCTGAATCTCTCCTTAAGAGCTCCCCTTGACTGCATCGGCTCCACTCGGTTGAGGCAGACAGATCAAACAAACACCTTCTGAGCTGTTAATCTTACCCAACAGGTTATTAAATGATACTTCTGCTGTTAGGTCAGTACAGAGCTTCTTCCAAAAATAATTTTTAAAAAAGTGCTACAAGTATAATATATGGATGCATCCTACAGGTGAGGAGCTAAGGAGGAAGAACAGTCTGACCTAGCTGGGGGAACAAGACCAAAAGTATTACAGAGCATCTCATCAATCTCTGGTGCCATTGTTCTGGGAGAAAATTGCCATTTGCCGGTTTAATATCTGGTAGAGGTATGGTATTTTCAAAAGTATAATGTGTAACTACAGTATATATAGTCAGCTTCTCTGCAGTGTAAAATGTATGATTTTAGCACCATATTGTGGAAAAATATGTACCGTGCAGAATTCACGAGGTGCTACAACTGACGGTTGAAAATACACACTTGCAAAATCCAAAAGAGCCGTTAAGTAACAAGTTGTTCTTTTCCCCATATGTCCATATGTTTGGGAAAATTATGAGTCTGAAATGCTCTTGACACGTAATTGCCTCGCACTCCCTCATCCAAAATGTGCCAGTCCAGCAGTAAAGTTACTGACGTAGCGGGTGTGAAGGGAGAGTTTGGGTTTGCCACAGGAGCAGCGTGCCATAAGTGTGCGTGTGAACAGGAGTCAAGACAAGGGGGAGAGAGGCCCATTCTCACGTGAAGCTGGAAGCTCTGATTTCCTGAGCTGGTGGCGTGCAGCCTGCGTTTCTGGCTCTGGCACGGGGCCAGCCAGGCCCAGCAGTCGAAAGATTAAGAGATAGAGAAAGAGCCTGTGGATTTTTCTGAGTGACCACCCACTAGTGAGCCATGATCTTGGCCTGCAAGCAGATATTACCACTGTGATATATTATGATGCAGAAGTCTCTAGGCACCCCTCAAATACATAAAGAAATATCAATTGCCCTTTCTGGGGGGGAAAAAAGGGGGGAAAAACTCAGCATTAAAAAAAGAAAAAGGCTCCTGCATTGAAAAAGTGCATGCAGCCCTGAATTCCAATTCACTCCAGCTTCCTGATCTAGAAATAGCTTCACATGCTGCCTAATTTTTTTACAGATGAATTGTGCTACCTCCTCCTCCCAGCCATCACAGATTTGTTTATCAGAGAGTAAGTGCTGTGAGTGAATCCTACCGACTGCTCTGCCAGGGCCGCATCCTGACACTTGCTCTGAGCAGGGGCTGCTTTGCACTTCCAAAAGGCCCTGCACCTGTGCGCTCTGTCACACTTGTTCTGCAGAGTCTCTGAGCCTTACGTGCAGAATCGGAAGTGCTGTTCACTATCTCTGCATAGAAGAGAAGGCTTTGTAAGACACTATTCTGTTG